CCAGGGGCAGGATCCTGCACTTACCTTTGAATTTCAGAAGGCTCCTTTTTGCCCATTTCTCTAGCCTGTCAAGGTCCTCCTGAAGGGCTGCACAGCTCTCTGGGGTGTCAGACTCTCCTCCCAGCTTTGTCAGTGAGCTTGTTGAGGAGGCATCTGCCCCTACATCCAAGACACTGATGGATAAGTTAAACAATACTGGGCCCAGTAGACAACCCTGGGGGACAACAATAGTGACAGGCCTCTAACTAGACCCTGTCACTGATCACGATCCTCTGGGATCTGCTGCTCAGCCAGTTCTTAATCCAGCCCACTACCCACTCCAAAGTTTGCCTATGAGCATATTGTGAGAGGCAATGTGAAAAGCCTTGCTGAAGGCAACGTAAACGATACCCACTGTTTTCCCCCATCCATCCAGGAAGCTCTTCCATCATAGAATGCAGCCAGGTTGGTCAAACCTCATTCACATTTAGTGTATCCATTCCTGATCACCTTCTTGTCCTCCATGTGTCCTCCAGAGTGAGGTGCTCCACCTTTCCAGGGATTTAGGTAAGGCGGACTGTCAGTAGTTCCTAGGTCCTCCTTCTTGCCCTTTTTGTTTATGTTATGTGAGTCCCACTCACAAACAGCTCCAGCTCTAAGTTGTAGCACACCTCACAGGCTGGAAAGCTAGAAAACTGAGGAAGGCAAGGGGTCCTCCAACCACCTCTACTCACCTCCAACTATATCAGAACGCTCATTTACCTTTTTCTTTATTTTCACAGCAAAATATGTTGGTCCAGCCTTAATTCCAGCATTGCTGGATTTCCATGGTTGCACTGTTCAAAGGTTTTAGGGTAAGTTTCAATAAAAAAAGATTAAATTATATCAAGATATGTTTAGCTGCCTGACAGAGGAGTCATAAGCCCTATTTTGTGTCTTTTCTTAAGCACACACAAAATGTTTCCCCAGAATTGTACTTAAAGATTTATTACAACCACAACTATTTCAAAATGTGCATAAAAACAAGTAGAAATTTATTCCTTAATCCTGTCAATAAATAAAATAAGAAATAAGCCAGCCCTGGTAATAGAGAACAGAATGTGACAGAATGGAGTATTTGATTCAAAACTTATCTGAAGGTTTAAGAATGTTATATAAGTTAACTGTCTTATTTTCTCTTTCTGTGACATGCATATCCTGTGTTTTCTCAGAGCACTGATGAGTCAGTTAAAAATATATTGTTATTAGGTATTCGGGCTCAGGTCAAATAACTGGATCTCCTCAAGGGACAGGACAGTATCTTGGACCTGTGGGCAACCATACCATTTATCATTGACTCATATATCCTTTGGGTTTGCTCCTAAAAGACTTTAAGTACGTTGTTCCATGGAAAATCCTTATATGCTTCCCTTTCACAATATCTATAACATTCTCCAATTATTGCAGACTAAGTAAGCCTTCAAGTTGCTGCTTGTCACCATTGTATCTCACCTCTTTTCTCTCACAATATTAACTAACTCACAGCAAGATGGAAAAACCAAAAGCAATTTAACTCTTTGACCAAAACCTCTTACCCAGTGTAACAGGTTATCTAAGTGTAAAAGAGATCTTCTTCAGCCATATAAATAATAATATTTCTACTGTCACATCCCATCTATGAATCCCTTCCTATTTCGGGAATCTGGAAGGGGAGATAAAAGCATGGTCTTTTAGGGCCAGAGCAGGAAGTGGCTATCACTGTTAATAAAAGTCATGTCCATAATGCTCTATGAGCAGCAAGTGTATTCAAATATTGCAAATATTCAAAAATTTGGGGAAAAAAAAACAAAAACCAAAAACATACTTTTTCCTCTAGCTGTTCTTGTGCTTATTTTGTTCATTATTACTGCTGTTCAATAACAATGCATTTGCACTGGTTTTGATCAAAATATCCCAATTCTCAGATCTTAACATACATTATATTTTGTTTTGTAAAGGGCTATTGGCATGAATTACACTATATAAGGCAGAATTCCTTCTTTTCAACATATCAAATATTTAAAATCATCAACAGTTATGAAATTTTCCTCAAGGCTTAAGGTACTTTATTGCCAAGACCTATCTCTCACAAGTGCAATCTGCCCTTGGTTAGAGCCAGTGCCATCTCCTGCTTCATTTTCTCTTCTAGTGTGTTTTTTTAGTCTTCGAATAATTACAGAGGGCCTTAAACATCATTCAAACGAACAGGGAGGGGGACAGAAATACCCTTTGTAAGAAATTAATTCGAGGTTGCAGTAGGATTTTTTTTTGTGCTGATAAAATTGCCACAAGAATACACTATTGCCACGTCAATTTTGGAAATACAAAATCTGTGTGTAGTATGCATGCTGTTCCACAGTAAAAATCATATGCACACTGGGTATGTATAATTAATGAAAACAGAGTGTGCATTGTGAACAGGAATTGAGACACGATAAGCACAGAACAATTCACCAGAAGATATTTGTAACTGTATCTTTGGCAAGCAAGCAATTTCATATTTTGATTTAAACCTTAGTTTATTACCAGCAGTAATTCACCTGTAAAAGTCTCAGTTTTGTGACTTTCCATTTACTCATACAGCTCTAAAAGAAAAGACTCAGTTCTTCTGGTTAACATATAGGACACAAAATTATTCATTAGACTATGAATCATAAAATATGACAGATGCCTGGCCGAGCATCCAAGGATGGAGTAAAGGTCTTCCCTTATTTATACACAAGTTAATGTGGAATGGTGCCATAGGCTTTATCTAGACAAAGATTTAAAAGTGAGCTGTTAACATGCCTTAGCTAAAACATATGTTAAAGAATATTTTATTATTGTATATCTATACTTTGATGCACCTTAAGCTGATGAAAAGGTAGCATGACGGGAAATGTATCTTAATTAAGGGAAGAAGATGTACACCAGGGGATGCAAACCAGAATTCTAAAATGCATTAGTCAGAACTTGATAGCTCATGCTTTATTCTCTGTCCACCTCCAAGTGATTGACTAGAAAAAGCTATGGAAGAGGAAGTTAAGTACTATTTATGCAAATGATTAGCTAGAATCTCCAATTTTACTTCCATCAAAGTTAAACCAATAAGGCATCACCTCATGTCGTGTTAACTTAAGCAACAATGCTCCCAGTTGTCTCTAAAGCAACCCTACCAAGAAAGAGCAATAGGAGAAAAAATGCTGCCTAGGAAGTTAAAGCACATTAAGTCAAGAAACCAAAAAATCTCATTCCAAGTTTGATAACACTTTAAAAAATGAACTATGAAGCATTAAGGATGAACTAAGTCTTTTGGCCCAGAAAACTGAACTATGCTCTTTGAAAGCCAAAAATAATTTGAAAATATCAAAACATCCCATACTAACCACATTTCACTTTTCTTTACTAAAATCACAACAATGAGATTATTTGGATAACAGTGACCCATGCTCCATAAATTTCCTGTCCAACAGTGGTAAAAGGATGGGTATTGTTTGCATGAGTGTTAAGAAGTAATGTGCAACATAATGTGTACACATCAGAGGGCAAAGCAGAGATATATCAGGATACAAAGTAAAACTGAACTAAAATGATTTAACAAGTGATGGCTTCATGTTCATTACGATTGTTTTCTGTAGAGAATTAGGTATCCAACCAGCTAAAAAAAATCTATTTTATTAAACACACATATCCATACACATGTATGCACATGTACATGTATGTCTCAAAACACAGGCTTTAAAAACAAGAAAAATGTTAGCAGTAGCCAGACCAATCCATCTGTAAAATTGTGTCTGAATTTTCACCTCCTCTTGATGGAGTTGTGTTATTTACTTCAGCCTGCAAGTCTATTAAATAGCCTATCAGCTCTATTTCTAGTGTATACCCTTGGACTGAGACATTCACTCACAGTGAACACTCAGGCTGGAGTGGGACAATTAAAAAGTGGAGGACTTCTGTCAAGGGAGGTTTTTTGGTGACACATGAGTTGCAAAGAAATGCTAGCACAGCAAACAAACAAGCATAAATAATTCCTCAGATCTGGAAGTGTAAAGGAAAGCAGTGTCATTCTCATGGTGGGAAGACATTAATTATTTCAATATGGAATTTATTGTGGTTAATGGATGTAGACTAAGAGAAGAAAAATCAGTAGAGTCATGCATTCCATATGAGAGATGCAAAGCATCCTTAGTCTAAGCAAGGATAGAAAAGTGGGAAACAGATTTTAATTTTTTAATAGTTTGAAAAACAGTAACATATTATTATGAGTTTTACTCACGGAAATTAACTAATTAACTAGAGGATGTCATCAACCAGAATCAGGATGGGGAAACAAAAAGCAAGGCAACTTCCCTTCTGTAAATAACATTTATTCATCTTTTATTCATTCATTTTATAACACAACCTGCAGTCAGTACAAATTTACTAGCAGGATGCATTAAGGAAAAGCATAAAATGATCTGTTTCCTCACCATTGACCATACTTCACCTTTTTCCTATAAAGAATGAGATAATGAAAACTCATATGGTTTATGACATTTTCCCTTGCAAATTCAGCTCAGTAAAAGTCTGCCCTTCTTACTGGCTTATGCGTAGTGTAATTGTTTGGCTAAGGTCCTGATCAACAAATACTCTGTTTCTTCCAGGGGAGCAATGCAACTAGACCCTTTATTGTGTTTTTTGGAAGAATCAGAACACGGGTAGAAAAATGTTAAGAGGGAAACTTAAACCTAGGCCAGGCAGTAAAATTCCCCAGGGGAAAATCATGTTTATTAAGTGACTCTTTTTGCTCAGTAAAGGTTAGCAAGCATTGCAACAAATTTCCTCTTGGGTCAAATAAAGCTAGAAAGGGAGTGGATGTGATGCCACCTGACAGGCCTTGATTTTCAGATGGAAGCTACAGTAGTATTTTGGACTCTCAGGTTCTGGATCTTGATTTACAATAATAAAACAACGTCTCCATGATTATGTTTTTCAAATAAACAAAAAAAGTTATTTTATTTCTGGAGAAATTTGCACAGAAGTTTGCTTCTGCTTAACCCTTAAAAGAACTAAAGCATCTACTTAATTTTTTTTCAGCCTTAGAAAAGTGCATTCCTGTGAGAGGTTCATTGAATTCCCCTTAAGGAAAATAAATCCACTGTATTTACTGAGAAATGCATTCTATAGATGATCTAGCATCTCATTAAGATGATTTTACCCCATACTGTTCTGGCACACAGGCTCTCACAAACAACATTTTCAATACTCTGCTCTTCAGATTTCATCACAATCCTAAACTAGGTCACCTGGAATGATGGCATGGAACAAAAACAAATAGATCAGAGCCAACCTCTTCCTTTCTTAACTACCTGATATTAACAGGTATCTTCCCTGCAAAGGGAAATTTAAGAATAAAAAAAAATGTTTTCAATAGCGCTTTACCAGTAGCTGGTTCCTCAAAGCAGGCTCAGGTTGACAATGAGTGACAGTGACTGCCAGTCGAGGGCTGTTCAATAGTTTGTGTCACCAAAGCTCTCATTTCTAGCAGACCAGGGCACAGATTTCCACCCCAGGGGGCTGAGGAGCTGCGGCTGGAATGGCTCTGGCACATGAACAATCTCTACCCGAGAGAGGGAAGCTCCAGGTCAGGGCTGAGGTCACTTCTGTAGAGACAGAGAGCAGCAAGACCTATTCTTAGCACACATGAGCTGACATTTGGTAAAACCGTCACAGAGACAAGGGAGCATGTGAATACTTTCTCAAGAGGCCAAGAGCCACGTCACCCTGCTAACTCATATTACTACTCCAGCTTACCTCATGTTAGCTACTGCACGTTAGCCCAGGTGTAGGAAAAAATACATCCATTGTCCAAGCAAGACAAGGCAGCTGAAATTTAATTATAAAATGGACTTGCCATGACATTGGCCGTATTTAATTAATTTTATGAATAAACAGCCTAACCTTTCAAGGGACATCAAACTAATAGTAATGTTGAACTTAAGATCAATCCATAAGAGTTCAGACTCTTATCAGCTGGAATCTTGGGAAAAAAACATGTTTTGATATTGTTTTGGTATTTTGCTTTCTAAAACACATCTAAAAATTGTTTTAAATGGACAGCTGTTATCACCAATGGTATTTATTTTAGCTATCTCACTCTTGCTACTCAGGCAAACCTTCAGGGAGGAAGAAAGGGACAGGAAGAAAAAGATAAAGGAAGAACAGATAGAAGCAAAGTAAGCAATAAAATATTGAACTAGGACTACAACAGAAAATTGCCAAATATGAAATTAAATTAGTGCCAGGCATTGTTTGAATCATCAGCACAAATTCCAAGCTAGGTTCTGAAGCAAGGTCCTTGAATGAAAAAAACAATAAATTTTAATTCCTTGGCCTCCACCTGTTGTAAATAGTTGCAAAACACACATATCTTCTTTACACCTATAACTTCTGCTGGGTTCAGTAGTGCAAAAAGTCTCATTATTGCAGCAGATAAGACAGAATTACTACTCTGGGTTTGACATAGTGGAGTGCCTCATTACACACTGTCACAGACATCACAGGATGCACCAGAGATTTCTTCGTCAAGGAGAAATAATGAGCTGTCCTGGCTCCACAGTCTTTTATAACCTCCCAGATGTTTGCATTTATTTATTTATTTATCAAATTTAAAACACCCCCAAACCCATATCAACTAAGTAATGAAAAATAAACCTTTATCAGCATAAACCTGATAAAGATCAAAATACTGAGATTGCTGACAGGGCACCGTAATGGAAATAATCTGTTTATTCAGCATTCTGTTTCAATAATATGAGAGGCGTTCCGATTCCTTCCACAATTCCCTCCTCATTAACATCCTGTCCAGTTTGCTGCAGGCCATGACGTAGGCTCTGATAATAGTTTTGGCATATGTTTCCCAAGGAAAGGCCCAGCCACCCTTCTGCTGAGCGGATGTCGATTGTGTTAATGCTGAAGGTGCACATGCACCACCTCCCGCTGGGCCCAGGCCCCAGCACGAACGTGACTTGTCACTGTCACTTAGTGCTGACCACTGAAAATCATACACAGACACTACAGACCACCTCTGTATGTGGGCAGTGCATGTATGAGTGTGAGTATGCAGAGACACACACACACCAGGCATCCACTCAAAGCACACAGAAGAGCTTACTATATCTTATGGTGAAAAGAAATCACTATCAGCCCCTGAAATCTCACAGGAATGGCAAAAAGTACCTCATGGAAAAGGCAAGTTCTCTCAATTCTATCATCCTAGATCCTCATGTATAACAGCCAGTGTTATAAGGCTTTTTCAATTTCTAAATTTTTTTCCCTCCTAGAGTTATGCAGAAGTAGCATGTGTGTCATTTTAATGCAAAACTATCACAAAGTCTTCAGCAGTGATAAGACAAAATGAGTTTCCAAACACATGAGATGAATCATTTGGAGTGGTGATCCTCAATAAACAAAACCAGAGATAAGTAGTCAAACACTCCTCTTTGGCCTCTTTTTCATCAGCAAATTAAACAGCTCCAAGAAGCAAATCCAGACAGTGGACTTTAATTGTCTCTGCAGTTCAGTTATTAGACAAGTTCTTGGCACAGGTTTGGCAGACTCCCCAGCACCACAGGGGAAAAACACAGCCCAGAGATAAATCCCGTAAGATTGGATGTGGGCACCTTTTTTTGGAGAGTGAGAGCCGTATGATTTCATCATGGGCTGTCTGTATCCTAGTGCCAAAGGATACTCCCAGGCAAGTTTAACTTCTTAGCACAATCTTCCTGTCCACTGTGAAAGCAGAGCCCTGGTCTAATACAGGTACCACATCTCTCTCAAACATGGAACAGCCTCACAGTATCATTATTTCTGACTAGAATTTCATTACTTTTCTTATCTGGTGAAACCAGCTATGTCTGAGCTCCATCATACAGTTCTGTGAAGAGCACTTAATGGAACAATATGAACAATATGAACAATATGAACAATATGAACAATATGAACAAGAATTTGCCACATCAAATGTAATCCTGACCAAGCATTCTCAAAAGATGAAGTAATAACAGCAAAACTGACCCTGTAAATAACATCTAGAGGAGTACAAAGATGTCAAAAGTAAAATACTAAGCCTTCTCTTTCAAAAATTACTATGGATAAACAAGCATATAAACATACACGCAACTCACAACATCATAGAAATCTCTGAGCTGTTGTATGTTATGAGCACACTGCCTATGTAGGGACAGGTAATGCACTTCTGCAGGGCCTAAAATCCCACTGAGGGAAAGGAAAATAATTGCTAAGGTAAAGCAGAGTCCAGAGGATGGATTTCCCAGCTTCTTCCACTGGGATTTCTGGAACCTGTTCACCCATGCCGCACATTCTCCCTAAAACCCATGAGACCAAGAGTTTCACTCTGGAACAGTATCTACCATGCACTGCTGAGCTGGCAGACACAGTAATCTGCAGACAAAAATTACAGAAAGTCAACAAAAAACGACCTAAACTTTGTATTGTAGATGCAAGCAAAAGGAGGGAAAAATGGAGAGTAAAGTGTGTCTCAGTATTTCACATTTTTCCAAGTCAAAAAACCCCAGTACAATTTCCCACAGAAATGCAGTTTTCATTTATCCATGCCTGCATGCCTTCAAAACTGAAACTCTGAATTCTCATCTTCAACAAATAGAAGGATATCTTCCACTACAAGTCAAAAAAAGAGGTGACTTGACGTCTCCTTCACAAATTCTTCGTAAAGAGTCGCATATCTTCACATTCTCTCATTAAACAATTAAACAATTCAATAGGGCTACAGATTCTAGTGAAGTTGCCAATATTGATATAACATCCTAATCTACACTCCTAACACCTGTGTTTACAGAGATTTAGCAGTGTAGCATCAATACTAAACATAGCCACAGTACAAATTCTCTCTCTGCTCTTCCTTTCTTCAGTCAGTGATTCCCCCTTTCCTCGCCACGCCCTTCACATGGCAGGTGAATGTGCATTGCAAAACTTATTTTGACAGAGACAGGGCAAGAGCTATAATCTGGCACAAAACCCTCCTAGAAAAACAAGCAGGATGGGCATTTTTTCCTAGTACTATTCATCTCAAGATTGCAGGGTTCTGAGGGCTGTTGATTTTGGTTTGTTTTTCCTGAAATCCCATTTCATATAACCCCATGCTCGGCAACACCCTTGTGAACTGCTGACTTTTCTTAAAATGGCCACAGATTATCCCCAAAAGTGAAGCCCTTTTCAAGGAAAATGGTTGTTCCCTCATATCTATAATTTAGAAAGGAAATATGAGAACACAGACAGGAAGGAAAGTATGGGAAGCTACAAAAGCAAAAATGTGTAACTATAAGTAGAGAGTCTATATATAAATTCTAGACCAAAGTAAAATCCTTGTTTCAAAATACACCTCTCGCAGAAGTACATGTATTTTATTTGACAGTATTCACCTACTCCTTGCAATACTGGACCCTAAGGAATTATAACTTGGAAATGTATTTTAGATACAATGAAATATATACTCATAAATCAACAAGGTAAAATACTGAAGTGAGTCAACTGCAAAGCATGGTAAAGATCTGGCCTCCTTTCCCCTTCATGCAGCATCTCTGAGGTGGTACAGAAGACTCAGCATCGAAAGCCAGCCGTGAGAAATGTCACATTGATGCCTGATTTGGTTACATTTCCCATCACCAAGCAGGCAGAAAATGTTCTCAGGCTCACAAAAAGGTGAATAGAAGCCAGAGTTAAAAGTAGACTCTTTTTTTCCTTCCCATGCTTCACATTATTAATCTGAAAGACCAGAAGCCGTATGGGGATCGAGTTATTATCCAGATACTTATTGCCTTCAGGTGGCTCCACCACGCTTTAAAATGAAAGATTGTCAGCAGATGTGCCCATCTACTCTGCCCCTTTCTCATATGTCTACAAGATGATTACGTTTACACCCACTTGTACACTGTAGCCAAAGGTATGCCAGTACTTCACAATTCAACCTTTTTTTCTTCTCCCTCCCTTAGGAACTCCGAGGTCAATACTCGAGTTAAAAAAATCACACTGTGCTTCAACACCACAAGCTTTTTTTTTAAAGAGATGATCCAGAGATTTATTTTCTTGAGCTGCTGCACCTGGAATGCAGCAATTATGGCATAGATATCTCCCCAAGAGCTCTGTCATCTCCCACATCAGCTGTCTTGGCTGTAAGCACTGCAGTACCATGCCTCTGCTCCTTGTCATCAAATGCATTCTCACTTCTATGGGTCTTAACGTCCTACTAATATTAAAGGAATTTTCAAAGGAAGCAGCTACCAAAATGAACAACTCCTCCAGAAGTTTAATTACAATTATCCCAGTATCTTCTTTTTCACGCTTCAGAACTGTAGATGGAATTACTGGTCAGGGAGCAGGTTGTCACTAGCCGTAAATTGGCTATTTGAACAAACTAGGTACATAGAGCAAACATAAATAATAATTATCAACACCCTCTCCCATTTTGTTTTTATTTGTGGATATCTGGACAATGAGAAAAAAGAGATTTTTTAATCAAAAAGGTATTCATATCAGATACGTGCACAGAAAGTCAGCACAGATCTCTTCAAATGTAATGTTTTACATATATTACATATGTTAAATCCACAATATCTCAAAGATGCAACTTAATTGATGGTGTAAACTTGGTTTACTCTAACACTCCTTGGCAGCTCATACTGGTGAATTGCCAGATAATCAGAGGGCTGGAACACCTCTTCTACGAGGAAAGCCTGAGAGTTGGGGTTGTTCAGCCCAGAGAGATCCTTTTGCAGCCTTCCAATACCCTAACAGGGCTTATAAAAAGGAAGGAAAGAGACTTTTTATACAGGCAGATAGTGATAGGACAAGGGACAACGATTTCAAGCTGAAAGAAGGCAGGTTTAATTAGGTATTAGGAAGAAATTATTTGCTGTGGGGGTGCTGAGGCATTGGTAAAGGTTGCCCAGTGAAGCTGTTGATGCCCATGGAAGTGTTCAAGGCCAAGTTGGATGGGGCCCTGAGCAACCTGCTTTAGCGAAAGGTGTCCCTGCCCATGGCAGGTGGGTTGACACTAGGTGATCTTTAAGGTCCTTTCCAACCTAACATTCTGTGATTCCATTTCACATCCACTTTACAACATGAAAAGATTGTGTACACATCTATAGGTGTGGCATCTCAAACTCATGAACTCATTGGCTTACCCATGTCTTCATAACCTTGTGGGCTAATTTGCAAAAAGAGTAAATGTAAAAAAACAACCAATCAAAATACATCCAGACAACTCACTTCAGGACATCTGAGCAAAGCTTTTCTCTGTTCACTCATACAATCATAGAGATTCATCACCAGTAACTGGTGATCATTTAGAAGCATGGTCAAAATTTCCGAAAATTTTATGCCATGAATTATTTGAGTTTCTTAATGCAAATAACAAGAAGTCTTTTCTGATTTCTATTTTTTTTTCTGGCTGTACTTTGGTGGAAACACTTCAAAATACTTTTTCTCTTCTACCACAGAAACAAAATTCTTTGTGCAGAAAGAAATAAAGGTAGTAAAGATTATATCAGTTGTCCATTTCACAATGCAACCAGAACTATGCTGCAGGGAAGTGAAGCTGAAGGTTAAATTTGGGAATGCAGCAGGAGAACCTTTCAGCTGAACATATTGAGGCAGCTTCCTCTTGAACACAAACTAGAGATGACTTCATAAACACCAAATTACTATCTTTAACCATGTGAGAAACAACTTAAATGCAAAAAAAAGTCAGAATTCTTTCCAAGATGGACTGGTTGCTCTTATTCTTTCAAATCTACTTTGAAACACTCTCTTCCAGGCTCAATTATTCAGTCCCCAATGTTGAAGCATCCTTAAAAATCACTCAGTGTAATTGAAGAAGGTTTGTGTTCTCTATCAGAAGTGTTCTCACACTAAAAATGGCTCTGAAAGGATTTGGAAGGCACTATCCAAGTCAACATGCACTTTACAGTTACACAGGCTTAGTTTATGCTAGTATTACATGAAATTACTCCAGGGTCCAGGAATGCACATGTGCACTCAGGTTTCCCCACACATGTGAATGCATTCAGATACCTTTATTCTGAAATCCTCTTAGAGGACTTCAACAATTCATTTAAAAGGCTTGTCGAGATTTTCTGGTTTTCAATACACTTCAATCTCCCTAGTGATTATAATCAGCCCCAAAGCACATGGCTATGCTTGTAGCACTGCAAAATCCCACTCACCAGCTGCATGTTTTTTATCCTAACATGAAGTCAAAAGCACAGGTACCTAAATTTTGCACCTGTGTTGGAAATTTTCAAGAAAATTTTCAAACATAGTTTGATGTTAACAAGACAAAAACATATATCTATATGTATGCATGTTAATATTGTGACTCCAGAATATGTTTCTAATATTTTATTTAAAACTCATAAAATTAACATCTTACTTCTACACTTCTTGTCTTTGAATAGCATTTCCTTTCTAAACTGTCATTGTCATTAAAATTAAATTAAACATTTGCAACATGTTTTAGAGACATAAGGAAACTATTTGTGCTCACACGTTCAGAGCAGGCACTCCTCAAAAAAAATTGGAAAAGAAAGGGCAGTATGATTCTATTTCATCATATCATTATTTACTAATTAATAAAATGCTCCCTCTGGGTTCAAATACCACTTTTGCTGTAATTTTTTCACTATAATTCAGTGCATTTACACAAAGGTAAAGACAAGATGTGATTTACACCACAATATGAAATGCAACTACTAACAATATTATTGTGTAGAGTTCAGTGAATGCTAGCAGTTTTGGATTTTTGGTGCACATCAGCATTCCAAATCCCAGAATCATAAAACAATTGTGGTTGTAAGGGTCCCTAAAGATCATCCAGTTCCAACACCCCTGCCATGGGAAAGGACATCTTCCACTAGACCAGGTCACTCAAGCACCCTTTCAACATCAATGTTGACAGAGAAGAAGCTCTCTGGCCAACTTGTTCCACTGTCTCATCCTTCTCATTAAAAAATATCTTCTTTAATATCTAATCTACACTCAACTTCCTTCAGTTTGAAGCCATTCACTCCCATTCCACCACCACAGGCCTTTGTACAAAGCCCCTCTCCAGCTCTCTTGTAGACTCCTGTTAGGTACTGGAAGGCTGCTCTAAGGTCTCCCCAGAACCCCAACTCTCTCAGCCTGTTTTCATAGTTGTTCCAGCCCTCTGATCATATCTGTGTGCTTCCTCTGGACTTGCTCAAACAGGTCTGTATCATTCTGATGCTGGGAACCCCATAGCTGGATGCAGCACTCCGAGTGGGGTCTCACCAAAGAGGAGTAGAGGAGCAGAATCCCTTCTTTTAGTGTGGTGTCCACACTTGTGTGGATGCAACCAGAACACGGTTGGCATTCTGGGCTGCATGCACACATTGCCAGCTCATGCTGAGCTTCCTGTCAATCCACACTCACAAGTCCTTTTCCTCAGAACCGCTCTCAATCCATTTCTCAACCACTTAGCCTGTATTTGTGTCTGGGATGGCCTCAATATAGGTACAGGACCTTACACTTGGCCTTGTTGAACTTTGGGATTAGCAAACATCCACTTCTTAAGCTGGTCAAGGCCCCTCTGGATGGCATCCCTTCCCTTCAGCCTGTTGACTGCACTGCACATTTTGGTGTTGTTGGCAATCTTGCTGATGGTGCACCAATCCCACTGTCCATGTCACCAACAAAGATGTCCAACAGTACTGACCCCAATATTGACTCCTGGGGGATACCACCTATCATTGTCCTTCACTTGGACATCAAGACATTGTTTAGAACACTTTGAGTGAAACTCTCCAGCCACTTCCTGATCAAATCCATGCCTCTCCAGTTTAGAGGAGATTATTGTGAAATGCTTTGCATAAGTCCAGGTAGATGACATCAGTTGCTCTTCCCTTATCCAGCATGTCACCAAAGGTCACTAAATTTGTCTGGCATGATTTGCTCTTAGGCAAACCATGTTGGCTGCCACCAATCACCTCTTTATTTTCCACATGACTCAGCACAGTTTCCAGGAGGATCTTTCCTATGATCTTGCCAGGCATTGAGATGAGACTGACTGTCCTGCAGTTCCTCAGGTCTTCCTTTTTTCCCTTTTATATTTCCCCTTTTCCAGTCAGTGACAACTTCACTGGACTGCCATGACTTTTCAAATGTGATGACCATTTGCAGACATTTGTTTGCAAATTTTCAAAGTTTCCAGGCCTTTTAAAATCCCTTCCGCAGCTCTTGTTGAAGTTACTCTTGTCCTATACTTTGACATTAATTAAAACAGAAAATTGGGTATAAAAGGAGACGGAAGAACAAAAACAGTGGTCATCCTGTTGCACATCTGGACCCACAAAGTCCAGAAGCTCAACTAGATGTGTTAGAGATACTATCATATTCTCTTCCTAAAGCATGTATTTGCTACAGTGCTAAGGCTGAGAAAACCGAAGATATTGAAGAGTCATTGCTGGACAGGACCTCTCAAGGCAAACTTACTCACCTCACTACTCCAGTGACCTGATTCAATGACCCTGAGTTAGCCCTCTGTTGAGGAAATGTTGCCTTCTTGCCTGCTGCAACACAGCCTCTGCAGCACGGGATTAGATGAGCTGCTTGAATTCCTTGAGCTCCACAAAGGGAGGGGGAGCTGTCCAGAAATGGTTGGTTCTTGGTTCTCTCAGAGGAAAGGGGAAAGGGGAATAAAAACCCCACTGATCAGTCAGTTGTTTCTTTTTATTGACAATATGCAATATTCCTATAAATCCATCATCTGCGGGACAAGACAATTACCTGAAGAGCTAAAATCTACTCTCAGGTCACAAGCAAGGCTGAGATATCTAGGTAATATCAGAGGGACAATTACCTACGGAGAGGAAGCAGCCAGAAAGAGGATGATAAGTACCAACAATTTGCTTATATAACAACAGGGGCAGAGAGCCATATGTCTTCAGCAAAATAGCATCTTGCTTCTTCCAAGAAATTGAACTATAATCTCAACTGACAAAATACAAACTTCAGGGTATTATTTTAGGATGAGGAATAATCTTACTGTCAGATTTGCTTCTGTGCTGAGTCTGCCTCGCTTTCTAGTTGCTCCAGTTGGCTGTTCAGAGATGCTCAGGCAGAGCAGGGACTGGAAAAATTCCTGTGATAAACCAGTGTGAAGTACAGGTCTGTGTTCATTGCCTCCTGTGGAAGGAACAGAATTAATTATTTAGCTGCTCATGGCCTTTGAACCTTAAGGGTTATGATCTGAACAAGAATACACCCTGTCCCTGAAGTTCACTGAAGTGCAGATGCTGAAGCTATGAGGCTAATTCCCTTCCATAAAGGCAATCAAAACACCCTGATGGCACCTGGTGAACATTAAAGGCAGCTTTGGTTTCAAAGTCAGAAGCCCTTGGGAAAAACAGAGGTCACATTTGTCAGGTCACTCTTTGCTCTCCAAACATTGCTTTCCTCCTTTCTTTCTTTATGTTTTCATTAACACTATCAAGCCTGACAAATATTTTCCTTCTACTTTTCTTTTCTTCTTCCTCTCTCCCCATCTCCCTCGACTTTTTCCACCATCTGTACCAGCCTGTTCTATCCCTTACCCTGTGATAACTTGATTAAGAGAGTGAGCTCATTTGTATGGTAAAGTGGCAAACCAGAGCTGGTAAAGCCAAGCACATCTGTTTTGTGCATGGCTGTTCTCCTGTGCATCAGCCTGTTAGTCAACATCCATGCAATATTATGCATGGATAGTAATTCCTGTACCTTAAAGCAGAACCACTACCCATGTGGCTCCTGAGGGTGAAACAAGCAGGCAATAGCTTATATAGGAAAAGCAAAAAAAAACATGACACTGAGGCAGCTGGTCTAGGAGTTTGTTTTCAGGAGAGGTTATTGGCAGAAAAGAAAAACAAAGGACTGGAGGAAGACGAGACTTCTCCCTACAGGGAGATTCTTCTCAGCAGTTCAGTGGTGATGAGTTCACATCCTAAGCCCCCTTTCACAAATGTCACACCTACCAAGCCTTATGTAACATAGCTGAAGATGGTCTCATTATCTATGTAAGCTACATAGATATCGTGGCAATACTTAATTATACACTTGCTAAGTCATTACATTTCATCACTAAATAAAACAGTGTTTCAAAGCTGGAAATACCTTGTAGAAGTCAGAGTTGCTGTACTGCTTCTAACAACTCTGCACAGCAGAACTGAAGCCACCTCCTTTCATGGATCTAGGCATCTATGCCTATTATTATCTGTTGGTGAAATGGAAAAGCATGAATACTGTTGGCATGGCAATATAGGGGCAATTTGTTCCCAAGCAGGCCCTTACCCTGTAATTTTGTATGTCTGTGAATACACTTAATCAGGAGGGCTACAGTATTTTAATGGATGAAAAAGTGCCTTTTTTTTCCTTATAAAGGATTGCTATAATGATTAACACCACTCCTTCTTAAAATCCTGCTATCTCTTGCTTGTGTGTAAAGATAAAATAATTGAATAAGCCTTTTAATTTAAATTGAGTTTCTTCATACACTTGCTCATAAGCAAGACTTAGACTGCAGCTGGAAGGATGGTATGCATGCATCCTGTCCTCCAGGCTCTGAGAGCATAGACTGCTACAGGCAGGTTGAAACACACCTTAAAGTTAATTTCTGGAGACATTAAAGTTTTGAGATCCCACTCATAAAGAATGGAGATGTCATTCTGCCAACAGTCTCAAAAGCATGCCCAGGACTGGAGGCACCTACCATCTCCACAGTCCTTGGATCTCCTCCTCTGCCCACTGGCATATGTCAAAATAATTTGATCCGATATACTACATCTGCTTAGCAAAATAAGGGCTAATACAGATATCCTATATAAATCACCTATATCCTATATATCACCAGAAGATGACACTCTTTTGAAGTGAAGGTGAATTCTTCTCTCATATGTCCTCATACAACCCAGAGACATCAAATTCCAAGAGACAAATTAAGCCAGTGATGCCCTCCCACACTTCCCTGGACACAAAGTAAAGTGCAGAGTATTTTCACGACATGCAGTCAATTTATTTACAGGTAGGTGTTGAATACTACTACAAAACATTGAGACAGCAAAATAAAGAGGGTTGGGTAGGGTTAGTTGCATTTATTCTGGAATTTATTTATTTAAGGAACAAAAACAAGGGGCAATATTGGTGCTTAAAAATAACCAGCACTAAATGGACATGAAAGGAGCAACTTTGCAAGAACTTTCCCTGACAGCACAGCATCTGTCTGTGCTTCAAAAAGTCTTCAAAGTTTTGGTCATGACTGATCTAGCCAACTCTGCTCTTAGCTGGACACAGCCTTGGTTTTCCCTCTCTCTCTGTGTTTATAACTGGTTGACACCTCAAAGAGCATGGCATTTGGGGTTGTTATATGGAGATCTACGACATTTTGTATAATCATTCTCTTAATTCTTTTTCTATCTGTTCTGCCTCAAAGCACCTGTGAGAGAAAAAAAATGGTTATAGGTGGTCTGAGTGCTGGAGCTGCACCACAGACTAGAATTCATTTCAGGAGGTAGACCTGATGTACACAGAATATGGGCCAGGCACTGGTGCTGCCCCATGGCAATGTGACAGTCATCTGATGTCACTGTGAGCTCACACACCTGCTCCAACGGTGCCAGGGGCCGAGGGTTTTCCCTGATTGATGTGTGCAACTGTTCATGGGCTTGTGTGGGTGGAGGATGTGGGCTGGCCCTGCCACCACTCCGACCTGAACTTCCCTCTGACATTGCACAAGACAGACCAAGACTCATACCTGCCCACCCACACAGACAAGCCAGCAGATATAAAAATACATGACCTTAAAAAACAGCACACAGGCTCTCCATTTTCATTTTTCACCCTTTCTCACCAGCACCAGCTCTACAGACTCGAAATAAAATTACACACACTAGCAGGGTTGGGCTGTTACCTTCACCACATTTGCTACCACATTCCTATGGCCACCCTCCTAGATATTTCCTCAGATATTTCTAACTTCCCACTTCTCTATTTAATTCCAAAAATAAAAAAGGGGAGGTGGGGAAGAAAAAAGAAAGAAAAAAAAGCACTTCTGTCTGTATGAAAAGTACAAGTTTGGCTTAAGAAAGTATCTATAAAACACAGAAGGAACCAACTTCTCAAGTTTACAAAAACAACCACTTCTACCACATATGCTCACCTATCTCCTGAAAGGAAATTCACTGCTCAGAAACCTGATATTCCACATGCTCTAATTAAGGAAAAAGGAAATAGCTTTCAGTCTCTTGTGCAAGGGCCAAAGAACATAAGTCAAACACTCACCTTAAACCATGAAAACACTTTGAAAAGAAGTAAAACAAGCATTCCGCTAATTTCCTAGATGCATTTCCAGCAATGTTTCTGATATAGACGCAATGGGTAGGAAAGAGGAAAAGAATTTAGTGATGTGGAAAACATATCGTTATAATCCATCCTCAGCCCATTTCACGCATTTGTGATGGAGGGATTTGCTCTTCCTTCTTTTAGCAGGGCTCCCAGGGTGGCATAAAATGGACAGTGTCATATCTTATAAAAGCTACTTTCTGAGGAGCATTGTGTTTCTCTGGTCACACTTATTTCTGCAGCACCTCTTAAATGCTTAGGTGAAGTTAGGAAGAGTCAAGGGATACACAGCCCAGTAAGTCTTCATTTACATCCTGAAGTTTCAGGAAGAAAGTATTCCTCCTCCAAGCGTTTAGGAAACTCCAAGACTTCCTTCACATTGAAAAAACTCTGTCTGTGGTGTAACCTTGTTATTTCACTTGCTTCCAACTGGCTTAGTGATGGTGAGTATTCATCACATTTGTACCAAAGAAGGAAAAATAAAAGCACTAACCAGAAATATAATTTACATGCACATTTCCAGTTTCATTGAGCATCACAATTATCTTCCCAAGTCTGGCCCCTTTGAGCTCATGGACAGTGCTGAAAGAAGGCAGGTTTTGAAATTAGGGATTGCAACCAAGGATTGTTCGTTAAACAAGCCAGCAATGGGTTTTTTTTTCCAAATCTAGAGACTTATAAGAACACACTTAAGGTTTTCAAACTGAATGCACTTTTTATTTGGGCCAGTGAAATTGAAAAGGAGACAGTGATAGGAAAGAGATTACTGGTTGAAAGACAAGACCTGATGCCAAGACATGGCCATGCATCCTTATGCCCATTCTGCCTCAGAGTCAGCTACAGCAACAATAATTGAGTTGCAAAGGTAAAAATAAGAAATCTAACTCTTCTTATCTATTATATTCCACCACTGTTAGTCCAGTGTAAGACATACTGTTCTTTAGATGCTAATGCTATGGGAGATCTAGCCCCTTCCATCTTGTTTTGCAAAATACAAGCCACTTTCAAAAACAGAAAGTAAATGCTAGCTTCTTTTCTCAGTGTGTTTTATTTGTTGGTCATACCCTGAAAAAGTGCTAAACACTTCTGCTGAAAAGCACTGATCTGAAAATACTTCACTGCTATGGACTATATTACACACAAGAAAAAAAGCTGCAGAATCTTTACAGGTCGTGCCTGTGCCATACATTCAGAGAAAATGCAATTGTGTATCTTTACAACTTTCTGTATCTTAGCACTGTTCACAGAAAAATAGACATAATTCTGTGTGAATTAAAATTATGGTGAGAACAAATTAATTATTATCATATATATTATTATTATCATTAGCAGTACTAAAACAATTTTTATACAGCACTTTTTTATTCACAGAACTCAGGGCACCTTGCTTATTGTTCTCATTTTACAAATGTAAGACCTTGGGAACTTTGAGATGCAGTTTCGTTATTAAGGTCATACAACATGCCACTGGCAGACCCTGAGACACAGCACAGGCTCTGCAATCCTTCCAGATGGTAGGCACAAAGCTAGATACTCGGTTTTTTTTCTTCTTTTAATTTACATCTCTGCCTCTGTGTATTTTGATCTGCCTCATTCAGCATTTAACATAGCACTGCTTAAAATCCTAGCTTTCCAGGAGCACAGCTGCTTTTTTTCTCTAGAACCGCCCTGCTTTGTGCAACACTGAGCATCTACATGTACAAACACACTCAACCTCAATTTGTGCCTGAAGAGTCATCCTCCCTCCGCTGTCTGAAGTACCACTAGAGTGCATATTTGGAAAAATGAGATGAAAAAATACTCATAAGTTTGAGATTCTGCCCTGTCTTTTTTCTGGCAGGGTAATAACAGTACATACTACTGCAGTTTTTTCTCTTGGTCAGAGTGCATAATGTCACAATCACATCAACAGAAGTAGCATTTTCTAAATCATTTGTATTTGTCACGTATCCATTCTCCCCCTAACACATCAGCACCTTTGCCTCTCACCCTCAGCTGATCTAATAAATGCAGGCTTGGAATTGACAAAAGACAGCAAACATGTAAACAAAAAAAAAAAAAATCCAAGCCACAAAGAGCCACACAGTTCAGGAATAATAAAAAAGCCCATAGTGATTCCTCAATTGCAGATGATATCAGTAGGATGTCATAACCATCTTTTTTTTCCCCCACCTCCATTTCATCTTGAATACCTGGGACTGCCAGAACTCCCTTTAACAGAGCACAAATTTCCCTGCCAGCTACAGCTGTTGAAAACTTGAGCCCACCAGCCCAACACAGCTGGATGAATTGCAGATAGTTATACCAAAATCAAGGACCTTCAGCTACCAGCTATGCATCTTTTCACTGCAGAGGTACCTCTGCAAATGGAAAAGTTGTACAAGTCTGGCCTCCTGCAATCCAACTGAAGCAAGCAGAAAGAAGCATCCTTTAGTCGCACAGAAAAGTTCTGCAATTTGCAGTGTGAGTTCCACAAGGTCTTTGCATTCCATTGCACTGTCTTTTTCTTGCCCTTACAAAATCTCCCATGCCAGGCAGCAGCTCCAGATTATGAAGCCCCAATATGTTGGCACTACTGAGTGCAAGAAGATCGAGTGGATGCAGTAACCAGTCCCTGCCCAGCATGCCCAGCCCAACACTACCTCTTCCTAAGCCAGGTGTTTTCCTTTGCATGGAAAACTGTCATTAAGATGGAAAGTAGCAAACACTGTGCTGTCTCACCTTGTGGCTAATAGCAGAAGTGTTTTCTGTAGTTGGGATTTCAAAGCAAGGGGTCTGAGAAGCAGGAGATCTTTTAAAGCTCCTCTGCCTACAGTTTCCTGAACTTTCATTTTCAAAATGTAAAGGCAGTTTCCTCATCTGTTCATCTACTAAAAAAA